CCATCTCTTACCTAATACCTACAAGCTTGTAACATGGTGACATCGATTTTTCTATAGTGGATGGAATTTTTGCTTAGTTCTCTCATTTGTAGACTTGTAGTCAGTATATATGTCATACATTTTATCATATTAATGTATTTTATATGTTTTAATTTAATATGAATGCTACATTATAATATAAAATTATTCATAGTTGATATATCAAGGTACCTTAATAAACACATAGTTACCTCTATTAACAAAACTATTGTTCAATTGTTAACTTTTAAATAAAGATGTAATTTAGAATAAAAAATTATTAAATATTGTTTTAAAACATTTATTTATTACCTAGTTTATTTTTATTAAGATTGAGAACAACGGAAATCAATGAATAGGAACAGTTCATATTTTCCTTGCTCATACTTTTGATAAATGTTGTTTATCATTATTATTTAAAAAACAGAGAAAGCTTTTCATCGAATAAGTATTCTTATTAGAAACCATTAAAATACCATATGTAGTTGAAATTAATGTTTTTTTGTAATGAGTAATGGCTATAATCTATTAATCTATAAGTAATAATAACACCCACGAATCACAATAAATATTATCATATTTTTATTTATTAATTATTATTAGTTATCAGTTATTACTATTTTATATACACATTATCTAAATTCTAAATGTTGCTTAATTGCTCTATAATAATATTTCATTGACTGTGTTTAACCGTTACACATTTTATCTTCTAAAACCTTTTAATATTTTTTGAATGTCTTAGTAGTATTATACTATTATAAGTTATAACGTAATCATATTATACTATCCAACGACCCGGTAGGGTCGATCTAGGCATAAAAAGAAAAGAGCGCCTTAAAATGCACATATACGCAATACAACACGCAAAAACTAGCCGGGTATAATTACAGGAAGCAACACTATCCACTAAAATAATATCTTGAGAAAACATAGAAAATGTGTAGTTAAATAACGAAGTTTGGGAATACCAAGTTCTAATTGGAAATTTCAAGTAAAAATGCATGCTGTATTTTTCAAATAATTTAGAACAATATCAACAGATCTATACAGCCAATTTAAATAGAAATTATTGTGTCGTATTTTTAAAATTGTATTGGATAATATTCTACATAAAATTTACAATGCACTATCCGACACCAATAGCAACTAACATACAAAAAAAAACCATATTCACTTTTTTTAAATGATCGAATCTTAAATATTTTAGTGGTCTGTTACTTTTCATCCCTTTGGTTCTTGTTCTATGGTTCTACCCTTGACTATTTACTTTCGATTTCTAAATGGCATCCCTCATTTTTGATACTAAAATGTATTAGGATAATTTTTCAAGTATCAGACCACATTTTACACATTATTTAATTAATAAGTTATATAATTGTAATAATTAATACAATTTACGTTTTTACTATTTAATCATGTTAGTTTCTTAAAAATACTTAATTTTAAACGGTAATGTTTCCAAAATGAATCCTGATGAAAGAAATTTAACAAATATTAATTGATACAAAGAAATAACTTAATAACCTATTACACTATTGGAGCCTAATAAAAATAAAGGTAATTATTTAAAACAAAAGTTAATACTCATTAAGATTCAAGAGTTGAATATTTGAAAACATTTACTTGAGAAAACAACAAAAAAAGTTAATATTTTCCAAGGTACCAACCGTTTGTGTACATAAATCACTCGTGTGACAGACGACAGCGTGAGTGCGTTACATGCATACTGTTAACGCAAGTCAATGTAATACACATTACACACTACACAGAGTATGTATTCATTTGAATTTTAGTATTTTGTATTGGGCTTAGAACATTGTGTTTTTTGGTGGAACTTTGACGATCAAAAATACGTGCAGTAATACACTAAAGGGGTATTTTATGACAGCCGTTATTTAATAAAATAACATTTTAAAGCCAATGTCGTAATTACCGGGAGGATTTGGGTATCCTATCCCTCCATAACTTTTTTTTTTAAAGTGACAAACCATAGTTAAGTACTTATTTGTGCTATTTGTGGCACTTATCAATACTATTGACAATATTTCGTCTGTATAGTTTTTGTTTTTGTCACGATAACAAGTGCGTGTACACGTGTTCTGTACGGAAATAATTTTAAAACCGTATGTAAAATGTCTTCTTCCGAAAGAAATGAGGAACGAAACTTTATATTAGAATGTATTCAAGTTTATCGTGATCATTCAGCATTATGGGAAATAAAATCTGATGATTACATGGACAGAAATAAGAAAAATCACGCGTATGATGTTTTATTGAAGAAATATCAAGAACGCTTTCCGACAGCGACATTAGATGGTGTTAAAAAAAAATTAATTCTTTACGCACAAATTATAGAAAAAAACTTAAAAAAGTAAATGATTCGTATAAATCTGGAGCTGGTTTAGAAAACATTTATCAGTCACACTTGTGGTATTTTAATGAAATGCATTTCCCTCCCGGGATCAAGAAACACCAACAAAATCACGAAGTACTTTATAAATCCTTCCACCACCAAAAGTCGCAAATGCAAGCAATGTTGATGATCAAATAGACGAAATCACTGAAAGCAATTTATCGGTGCCCCCATAATAAAAATTGGTTTTTAGTTTTTTTTCACGTTTTATGATTATTATTATTACCAACCTATATTTCATTAGAAACAACTACGTATAAGCGTGTAGCTTAAAATTAGATAATTATTCTGTTATTTTAATAGTTATTGTTAATAGCCTATGCCAGGCACTTTAGAGTAGGTACCTATACAGTATAGGCTATACTACACATTATTTTATATTTCGAGTTTTTTTTTAAAATTATTATTAATTTAATAACATTATAAAATCATTATTCATTACCATGGCTAAATAATAAATGGGGACTAAGAATAATGTTATAAATATCGAATTCTCTTCCAATAAATATGAATTCGTTATCGCAACTCCAAGAATAAACTATTGACTATTATAGCCGATGTATTGTGGAGCGGCCGGGGGGTCGTGGGGACGGTTACTATTTATAATTATTCTTATTAGTTATTACTTATTAGTTATTACTTAATAATAATACTCATGGGTAGTGTCGGTGTGCTCTATATTTTATTATTTTCGTTAAGGTACGGTTTCCCTGCAACGTCTGGACGCAGCGTCAAGCGTCACTACCGGTCTGGACGTAGGTCGCGTCTAGACGCCGCGTCCGACGCAGCCATGCTGTTCTCGCGTCTGACGTTGCAGGGAAACCGTACCTTTATTCGTTTATTATCTATAATAAATTTGACATAGTGGCATAGTAATATTATTATTTAATATTTTATAACTGTAGAATACTTAGTTAGTGGTCGGCCCTCGGTACCTAATAGACTATTTAATTAGATACCTATAGGCTATAATCCTCAACCAAGTTATAAGACATTAAGACATAATATAGTGTAGTGTGTAGATACAAAATAAAAAATGTTATACATAACAATTATGTCGTCGAGGCAGTACGCAAGTGGCCCATCTAAAAGAAAATTGAAAAACAAATTCTAGAACAAGTGTAACAAATATAGAAGTAGTCTTGATAGTTGCTTAAAAAAAAATCATTGAACTTAAATAAGGCTATTAGTCTAACGGCTGTTATGTCCTGCTAAAGTTTTATTTTTGCGTTTAAATTAAATTTAATGTCTATACATATTATACATTTCTATTCGAACTGCTGTTTTGTATTTTTTATGTGATATAGTTTATTTTCTAAAAATAAAGAAGAATTAGACATTAGTTAAGGTGACTATCAATGGAAAGAATCCAAGTTCTTTCATACAGAATAAAACTTGTATTTTTTTACTAAATTGTATAATTGAACTGTGGCAAAAATAATAGGTACCTACTACCAATATAAAAAAAAATATATGTAGCGCGATGTCCCGAACGGTCTTATGTATTATAATTATAATTATTATTATCAATTGTCGCAACGGTGTCGGATATGATCTATATAGATAGTAGTAGCAGTGTAATACTTCGCCGGTAATGTAAGTCACGATCGCTCGTCAGCACTGGGTTTTTTTTAATTGTTAAATGTTAATTACAATATATTCTGACGCCAGGTGATCCGGAGAGCGACAGGATACTGGTTGTAGAGTGTTGTGCTCTTTTTTCTTTAATTGTTTTCATTTATGCTTTAATATATATATATATTATTAATTAATAATTATACGCTAACCGTAATTATTATTTTGAGTGCCCCCTTTCCGACATATACTTTAATGCATATTTAATTATGTATATTTTAATATTGACACATTTGAATTGCATGAAATTATGTGTGCTATACTGGTATACATTAACTATCAAGAGTTGATGTTCTCTGCTATTGATTTTTCTCAATAACATGCAGAGTTTTGTAGATGATATTTTACAAAAAACCCTAGAAATATTAATGCTGATTCTATTTTACAAATTTATAATATTTAAAAAAAAGTTGCATGTACTATGTTGCCCGTTAAAAATGCTTATATTGTATTTTTGCCTTCCAAATTTTTTACTTTCCCTGGAGCGTTTTCCTAAAATTTTCTTTCATATTAACCTTTATAAATTAGGAACACAAAAAAAAGAATCAGCTCAATCAATCATATTGTTTCGGAGTCAATCCTTAACAAAGATTTCCATTTCGCCTTTATTAAGTTTGTACTATGTTTATGGAATTAATGATGAAAAGTTTTTGATTACCTTATGGTTACGGACGTTAAGGTCCGTCGTTTAAAATGATAACTATTCTATAGGCTATAGCGTATTGCGTACACTGTCACAAGCACACACTGCCCGAAGGCCATAATAGTATAATGCATGAAATATATACAATGATATTGAATGTAGTAGGAGGGTATTTTACATTTCTACAGAAATCCCAGATGTTTGACAGTCTATTACGAATTAAATATAAACAATTTATTTGTGTTTATCTTTAAATAACATTTTATTATTATTATTTTTTTTACGTAGACACAACGCTCGACAATATCAAGTTTTCCACTGTCGCCGCGCCGCGTCGGATATCCTAAATTTAAATTAGTCGGGTAATACCAAAATTGTGGCGTCGGCCGGTCGTCCCTCGTCGCATCGCAGACCGCGGGATCGCAGTGCAGCAGTTCATTGTAGTCACTCACATTGTCGGTGGTCGTGCGTTAACTGTTTGTTGCTCTGACGTCCTGCCTACGAGCTATTGGCTACAACTTCCAAGTGTCTACTACGCAGCTCTCCAGTTTTGTAATACACGTACGTTGAATTTTATTGTTAATTATTATAGTACAGGTACATGTTTCAAATTTAAGTTTAAAGATTTTTCTCTGAAAGACTAACGTTAGCCATTTCGTATTTTGAATGATGAACGAAGGTTCTAATTTATGTCTTTTTTTTTTTACAAAAAGCATTTATGCATTTACACCATTTCAATTATAATATTTGCTTAGACCTTAGTACCGCTAATAAGTAATAATAATACAATAATTTCGAAAATAACGTTATTTTTGATAATGTTCCTTTAATTTGCTTTACAGATCGTAAAATAATTATTATATTATTTTTTTTTTTTTTTTTTTAAATAGCGTTTATTGAAAAATTTACAATCTATACAAGTTATGTACAATGAGTAAATTGGAGGGAGGAATGACAATGATGGGGCAGTGAAGGGAAGCTCACAGTTGAGCTACCTTTTAATGAGTCTTAAATCTAGTTGATTAAATGTAAAAGTATTTTAGATAAGGTCTCTGGACCAATTTCTGTTGAGTCGACGGGTGGGGTTGCCGGGAAGATGTTTTGAGCGAAGATTGGATATTAATTTGTTTGGGTGGCCAAGCATTTTGCAGTGAAGTCTTGAGTAGAATGTAATTGCTGTTTGGTTGATGGATTGAACTTTGAGATCTTGATGTAAAGAGGCATTTGTAACAAACCAAGGTGCTTTGGCGACCATACGAAGGCATATTGATTGGAAAGCCAGGATTGTCCGAAGGTTTGATGGTTTGGCAGTGCCCCAGAGGGCGATTCCATATGACCATATTGGTTGGAGGAGACTTTTGTATAGAAGTAAACGGTTAGACAGGTTCATGTTTGATTTGAGGAGAGGTCTAATGACGTGTAGGCGGGAGTTGAGCTGTTTCCTTTTATTTTTGAGATGAGGACCCCAGGTGAGTCTCCTGTCGAGTAGCAGGCCAAGGTATTTGGCTTCTCTTGAGTGGGGAATTACTGAATTGTTGAAAGAAACTTCAGGACAGTCCTTAGGTCTGAGGGTGAAGGTGAAATGTGTAGATTTGAGTTCGTTTACTTTGATTTTCCATGTGTTGCACCACTTTGAAAGCATGTTGAGATGGTTATGGAGATGGTGAGAGCAAATGTCTGGATCGGAGTCAGCGGCAAGAATGGCAGTGTCGTCTGCATATGTACCCATAGTAGTGTTTTCTGTGGTAGGAATGTCAGCTGTGAATATGATGTACAAAAACGGGGCAATGTCGCTTCCTTGAGGTACGCCAGCAAGTATGTCGTAAGAGTCGGAAAAGGTGGATTCCATTTTAACATTGAATGATCTGTTTTCGATATATGACTTGAGTAAGAGATAGTATGGCGCAGGATAGATTTTGTAAATTATTTGATTTCTATTAAATATTTTTGAAATTTGATTTTAGAAAATGATTACTGGGTGATGTTACATTAGAGATCCACAATTATTAAAATTTATAGTTTTCTAGTTCACTTGAAATAAAAATAAAAACAATTAAACAATTATTTTTTCACTTTTTAATAACTAGAAGTCTAGGAATAACCTATTTGCAAAGCTGGGTTGTATTATTTATCATCCAAAATATTTGTAATGAGGTACCAAGTACCTTTGTATACCCTAGTGCTGTTATAATTAATAATGGCTTGGACTTATATAATTATGAGGTCATATTTTTAAATAGAAACATTTTATCTATAGTGTGTATTATTTATAAATTGTAGTTATAATGCCTTTACGGAAATACTATTATTCCATAATATATTTATGTAGGAAATATGTATCATTCATTTTTAGATTCTTGATATATGTCAATAAATTACACGAGTCGTACAAATTGTAGATTCATATATGTAGTGAATTCTAACGAAATAAATGACTGGGTTTTCTAAATTTGAAAATACTCCATACCCACATGCAAGCCTGGGCAAGTTAATGATAATTATTAATTGAGTTTAGTTGATAGAAAACATTTTATTATAAGTTTAAAGTTTATTGTTATCCTAATTTTTTTAACTCAGCTTAGTTTAAAGTTATATGGAAACTTACCATCAACTTATTAATTTAAGTTGTTATTAATTTATTATTATTATATTTTAATATATAAATGGCCAGTAAGAAGATTTAAAATAATAAAATGTAAATGTTTATGCAATGTGTATCATCAATAATAGTTTTATAATATGTATATATATATTTTTTATTATTATTTATAAACTAACTTAAGTTGGATTTGATTAAAAGTAACTCGTTATTTATGAAGTTTATATTAATAAAAATCATTTAAGTTAAAAATTAAAACTACATTTTTAACTCTTATGCCCAGGCTGATCCACATGTATTTTCTGTCTTAACATAGGCACACTGTACGCACAATTATGTGACTATAAGCGTTTATTAGATTTTTAAATTAACATATGTTAGATTTATCAAAAAAGCTACTTGGAGCCCTACATACCCATACATTTTTAGAAAACAGTACACAACTTTACCCTAATAACTAGTAATAAGTGTTTTTATTTAAAATTACTTTAGGTATATTGTTTTATGTTGAAACAATTAACATCGAAAACAGTATTAAAAAAAATCATGTTTTAATTATTTATGTATAATCCTTATACATTAACCCTTAATGTTATTATATTTTAATTATTTATATAAAAATAAATACCTTCACGTTATGTTATTTAGATACCTACCAATAAAGGCAAATAATAATGGCTGACAATCAGTCTTCTGATATGGAAGTAGATTGCAACAAGGTTTGTATTTGTAATGTCCAAATATTTTAAATTATAATAAATACGAGCCCAGTATCCATTCACTCTTCTCTTCAACAACACAGTTGTTCAAATTATAATTTCTATAATTTTTAAATATATAGATACTTAAAGACCATTTTTTGGATATTCGACATTTTTTGTGCCATTAAAGGAGTGTCTATACAAACTAACTTTTTTGATGTATCAAAATTTGAATGAATAGTTTTGGTGTTATTTTTCACAAAATTGGCTCATTGTTTGGAAAATGTGGGGGCATTATGTTTTTAAAACTACACTAATCACTAATCAATTACCAAAAAAATAGTAAACCATAATAACTTGTAAACATTTTTGAAGTATAATAAACATTAGATTTAAATATTCAATGTTACCCTTATATTTTATATTTTTGGTGAAACCATTTTTAAGAACTAATATCCTTAGTACCTTTATACAGTGCATGATCATATACAATTCAATAACTCAAAAATTACTGGTTTGAATTTTTTGATTGGATTTGAATAGATGCACCAACATTTTCAAAAAAATAATCTACTGAATGATTTAAACTAAAACGGTAGTGTTCTCATTTGAAAAACAGAAGTTTATATAACCAGAGAAAACTCCTTAATTGGTACTAAAATTCTGTACAGTTTTATTAAAAATATGGTCCTAAGTACATTTAAAAATTCCAAAGTTGGATTTTGAATGAATGCATTATTTAAGTTAAAAAGGGGTGGGAAGAATTGGTGAATTACCCTGTACAGTTAGTAAATACTATACACAATACAATAATTGTGATGTTATAATTATTGTTCGCAGAGTACCACACTATTTTCGTCATCAAGTGCAAGTACATCTAAATTACCACGATTAAGAGTACTATCTCTCTTTGACGGAATTGGTACAGGTAAAAAAGAAGAATCACTACATGGAAATCTACAAATAAATAAGAAAATCATATACTATACTAATAACACAAGTCCGATTTCATTTATTATGTGTGTTTATTTTTTTTTATAGGGTATTATTCATTGTTGCAGTTAGGGTTTGATATTGAAGTAATTTATGCAAGTGAAATAAATAAAGATGCGTTAATGTTAACTAAATATCATTTTGGTAACATTAAACAATTGGGTTCGGTCACTGAAATAACCACAGAAATGTTGGACCAAATCGCTCCAATAAATCTACTTTTAGGTGGTTCGCCGTGCGCCGATCTATCTGGTGTCAATTATCGAAAAAAAGGCCTTTTCAGTAATTATAAATGAATAATTAAAATATCTTTTAATTTTTAAGTATTATAATTATTACATTATGTATGTTGGATGTGCGTGATAACTGAGTGCAATTGCAAATACATCTAAATAATTATAATTGAATAACATAATAGTATTAATATGTTTATTGTAGATCCAGATGGAAGTGGTATATTATTCTTTGATTTTTACCGTGTATGGGACTATCTAAGTGTAAAAGCTGCTAGAGAAAATACACCCTTTTATTGGTTATTTGAAAATGTGGCAAGCATGGAAATTAAAAATAAAGATACAATTTCCAAGTAAATAGTATATTAACTATAAGTGAACATAATAAATTAAAAAAAAAAAAAATTATACCAAAATATTATTAATTTTTATTTCAGATTTTTTGAGTGTCAACCTGTTGCTATTGATTCACTACACTTCAGTCCACAAAGACGTAAAAGACTTTTTTGGTCTAATCTCCCTGGTATAAAAGAGCTGGCTTATGCCCGAGAGATGGATGAATATGATATGAATGAACCAAAACTAGAAGATTATTTGGAAAAGAATTTAGATAGACAGGCTAATGTAGAAAAAATTGGAACCATCACTTCAAAAAGAAGTTGCTTGCAAGATAGTATGCTATTGATTTATGAAATACTATTACTGTTTTAAAAATAAATAAATTTGTTTTATCATTTTTGTTCAGGCAGATCTAGAAATCCTGTATATCAAGACGGACAATGCACAGGCTTATTTATTACAGAGATTGAAACGATCTTTGGATTTCCTCCACATTTTACAGATATTGGTGATTTGTCAGTATCAAGTCGCCAGAAACTGCTGGGAAGAGCGTGGAGTGTGCAAGTAATTAAGGAACTATTAAATCTATTATCAGGCATATTTGCTAAGAAGTGAGTGTGATTTGCAACAATAAACAAATCTTAAATCAACATCAGTAATTTTTTTTTATTATTACCACCAAATTACCAATGGTAATAATGTATATACCTACAGTAGAAACTATTTATAATGACACCAAGATTAATGAAGTGAGTAATTGAAAGACCTGGCAAAACTCCTATATTGTATGTACCTACTAATTTGTATTGATTATTATTATGATGTCTGTATATGACTATACAGGTATTATGATGGTTATTTTTGGTTATATTAGAAAAATCCTTCATTTATAATGGCTCTATTAAACTTTTATTGAAGGTAATAATTTATAATAACCGGACCGATAATACTAAATACTATAGAAATTGAAAAAAAAATACTGTATGATTTTTATACAATAAAAGTACAAACTAAGATAACATATTATTAATCCATTTTATTATTACCGTTACTAAGGCCTAAAGAGTTTGATAGAAGATGGTTCAAATAATAATATTCAGTTGATATATTTTATAAGTCCATAATCTCAATCAAATATTAAATATTAAGTACAGGAATATAGATATACATCTTTATTATTTTACAGCTGACCTGTTGCACTTCGTTTCCCAATAAAAATACCAACTCTATAATATGATTCTCGCTTGTGATAATGCGAGCAGTAAATTATCAGGTAGAAAATCCACCTGCGGTGAATTGCAGACTGAGGTCTTAGGTGCATACTCTATAATATGAATAATATGTTTTATTTTTATTATCTATTTTGATTATGGACATGCCGATCACCAGATTTAAGTGCAACTCAGCCTCCATAGTAGGCAATTAGAATAAATTGATTTGATACATGATTTTATATACCTGCAGATCCGTCCGATAACCGATAGCTACCAAAAAACCAAAAAAATACTAATTTCTACTAACAAATTAAGAATAGATTGTTGAATTTTACTTCTCGGAACAATTTATATCTATCCGCTAATCGAACACATAAACACATAATTTGACAGACCAAAAGGTCAGATTGTAGGTAGGTAGCTGGAAAACCGCGGGCCGCCGTGCTGTACAATTAACACGTTTATTTTAATTAATAACTAATTTTCGGTTCAAAAGTCTTATTTTTTTTTACCATAAAAAGCTTCTCCTGACAATAACAATTAATATAACAAAAAAAGAATAAGCGAAATCGATCCAACTCTTCACGCGTGATGCTGTGTCCAAAGGAAATAAGGATTCGTTTATACATATATAACTAATTTTAGTGACTTAAATATAAATGTAAAACACGCTGTCGCTGACTTTTTGTAGGTATTATCAAAATACAACATTTCTGTAGAACTCAATCATATATCTCTCATCGTTAGGGCAGCGTAAGAAACGTTTTCGTTCGGTCGTTTTTTCACCGACTTATTGTGAAAATCTGAGTACCACGAAAAAGTATTTTTATTTTTCTGGTTAAAATATAGCCTATGACACTCACAACTAATTTGGCTCTCTATTGGTAAAATAATTTTCAAAATCGATTCAGTAGATCTAGAAATTATCCCCTACAAACTTAACCTCTGTTTAATAATATAGTAAAGATTAATTAATTATTATAATGGTCTTTATTTCTAGTATTATTTTTTATTTATTGAGTTCAAAGGCTTCAAAAATTAGGTCATTATCTTATAATTATACTTACATTAATTTACACTAATATTCATTAACATACTATTATCTGATTAGCTGAATTACAATGTTGGATTTACGGTTATAAATATTTAGTAACGATTTCGTGTATCGGAGTATCCATTAGATTCATTAGAACAATATAGACATATAGTTCCATGATAAATCATGAGTTTTAGGGTGAATTTGATTTTCATTATCATTAAAAATTATTGCCAATCGTCGCTTCACTTTTTTTTTAAATAACACTATTATCAAGTTTTTTAACCGAGTAAAAACTTTTTATCGACAATAATTTAGAAAAAACTAATACAATTTGAACATTTCTTATGATTAGTACGTAGTACGTACTAATAAAGTTTCAAAATATTTTGAAAATTGTATGGTGTATATAGAAAATACTGTAATAAACATTCGGTGAAAAAATCATATATCTGCGTTTAGATTTTGCTGTAAACCGGATTGGGTAAAAGTTAAGACACAATCTGATGTTAAATATTGATTTTTTTTTTATTTAAACATATTTATATAGTTAATACTATATTTATACGGACTGCATTATACTTATTGTATCCAGTCTCTTATTATTTAGTTATATTTTTTAATACAGATATATATTTAATGTTAATACTTTGGCATCCTATATAATGTTAAATTAATAACTCTTATTTTGTATAAAAAAAATTGTAGAAACTAATTAAACACATGGTATATAAATTTAGGGTTGCCACCTTTGAAAGAAAGCAGCCCCGGAGATAGGCCGATAAGCAAAAAAAAAGGTCATCAGCTAGACGCTAGTATACACACCAGTACGTGGTAGTATAATCTAAAATCTATAGCTTAGTTGAAGTGAAATGATAAGTAATGAAATGCAATTATGCAAACAAAAAAATATTTATATAATCAGTAATCACATATTTTATCATTCAAAATTACAAATTATACTATAAAAATATAATTAAAAATCCCAAACAAGAAAAATTATTTAAATTTAAAATCATACTTAACATTATTTGTTGCACATTTTAATAATTGTTACCGGAAACTAATAAAAAAAAAGGCATAATAATAAAAACAAGTCTATTTAAGACTATAAATCGTAGGTTATCTTATCTTTATCTCCGACCCGGAGAAAAATTCTCTGAACCCGGAGCCCGTAGATTTATACGTAAACCCGGATTCTCCGGGTGAAACCCGGAGAGGTGGCAACCCTAGGTGGGCCTGGGTGGGCGATTGTGTCTCTGGTAGAACTTAAGGGGGGGGGGGGGGGGTTAAATTTGTTTGAACTTTTTGTATGTATTAAGCCAACATAGTTATAACTTACAACTTTAAAATTATGTAAAACGTTTTTTATTTTATGTATTGTGATTTATTACCAAATGATGGAGATTTCTCAAAAGTTAATTTTAGGATATTCTCTTAAATCTTATTGTCATACCTGCAATTCCTTGGATAACTGATAACGACATTCCGCAGAATATAGCCCGCAGCTAGTGTTGTACAACAGAACTTAATAATAATAAATGTTTATTTTACGTAATACCTTTTTGATTACTGTTCTGAAAAAAAGAAATTGACAGGATATTGTGTTAGTGTGTTATTTATTATATATTATAATTATGTTCAATTGTTATTAAAAATGTATATTAATAATAGTATTAAATTAGTTTAAGGCGTAGTGCTCGGTGGTAAACCGCAACATTGTGTGTGTGCAAAAAAATAGAAAATCGCAAACTTCGGAAGGATGTAACTTACAAAATAATGATTTTGCAAAATTTTTTTCTAAGCAATGTTTTTGACTCGTTGAAATTCGTGTTTCAAAAAAAAAAATCAGGAAAACGCGTTGTAATTTTTTTCTTTCTTTAAACTATAAGTTAAGTTTTATCATTTTCTATATTTATTTATAATTTTTATTTTTAACACTGGATAGCCACCCTCCTACCTGTCACCAAATTTTTTTTTAGATTTTTGTGGGTGCCCCGGGCCGCATAATTTCTAACTACTGGGATGATTTCAGCAATTTACAAAGGGTCAGTAGCCAGTCCTACATGATACGCACTTATTAAATACAGCTATATTTAGTATCACAGATCTTCACATTCAAGAATTTATTATTAAAATAATAAATAATTAATTATTATTATTATTATTATTTATTGGTTCACACAATCCTACAATTTAAACGTACATTATTCATTCATTATAAAAGCGTGTTAACTGTGAAACTAAAGGCGTGTATTATTTGCTTTCATCGAATTGTTTTCACTAAGAATGTTAATTATAATATACCAATTAAGTTCAGAAATAAAATTATCATTAATACAGAAAATAATATAATTTAATACAACATAATAGATTTAGATTAATTAATTGAATACGGCTAAAATCACTAGTGTAAAATTCAAAAACACTTAATTGCAAGTTACTATACTTACTATAATAAACTATTAGGTCTTATTCTCATATCAGGCAATAATTAATGGCATCGGTTCAATTCATTAACTACAAAAGTTATATTTCGTATGTATCAAGGACAATATTTCCGGATTTTTGTTTTTTTTTAATTGCAGTCATCAACAAAAGAAAGTACTAATTTGTTTTTGTTATTAGTATATTTTAAACCAAGTGTTATTTATTTCACAAGAACAACGAAATACAATTTTAATCAGTTAAGTATTCATAATTTACTAGTCAACTATTGCTTAAAGTTTAATGTTAAAATGTCATCATTTAAAACGTTCACAATTTTACGCATTGACATTATATTTAAAAAATTGTATTTCGGCTAATAGTGCATGTATTAAAATAATAAAACAATATAGTAAAGCTGTACTAGTTACGGTAAAACCACTTTTTTTTCAAATCATTATTTTTAAGCTTATACAGTTAGTAAAAAATATTCATTACAGATATAATATATTTTTTTTATAATTATATTTAAGTTGCCTAAAATACGTTGTCGTTATGTAAAGATAAAATTAATTAGTTTTTTATCGTTAAATATTTTTTAATAAAATTAAAATAAGTATTCTTTTTTCATTAAGGAGAGTAACTTTGTTTTACACTGGTATTTTTCTAATATATTATTATCAATCCACAACCAAAGGGTAGGAATAGTCTATCGATGTAGTTGGGACAAGATGTAAGAAAAGGAAATAGCAATAATTTAACATTGAGAATGGTTTAGATTGACCTATACATTAATAGAATTATACGTCTAAGAATTGCATCATCAGATTCTTTAATAACTGTACAATACTTTTTAAATTACAGCCAAGGTAAGTTCACCTTTTTAAATAATGCCTACCTATATAATTACATTTTTATCACTACATTTTGGTAATTATTCAACTATTTGAGCATCTCGCAGAATATCGTTAATTTATTATATGATATTTCAAGTGGGCCAATAGGCAGTATTCAACAATTGTATTTACATGGTTTTAATTTATATTTGAGATTTTTTTTAGGGCTTGGAAGTTGTTGAAGTTAAAATTTGCACTATACAAAAGTCTAAAATATGTACAAAAAAATGTTTTCGGTTTTTTATTAATTACATGGTAAAGTAATAGTCATGTTAACAGATGTAATAATTAATATTAAATAACTGGAAGCGATTGGCATCAACCTATTAATAAAAATAAACTAAAATTTTTACCATTATTGTTGGTTGTTTTATAGTTTTTTTATAACAGGTGATTATTTTAGTAGTTTGTTTTGAAAATTAAATTAACATCTAGGTGTCTTATTTATAAATAAATGCATTTTTGAATTTAAAGTTGCATTTTAATTAATTAAAATGAATGGTGTGAGATTAAATTTTAGCCATCTATATATTATAATTCATAAATAATTTTTACATTTCCTACCTAAATGCGACAAATCTCTGTGGGCGTCCTTAGTTAGTAGGTATTAATGTATTATATTATGACTTTATGAGATACAGCGCTGCTACCAAAAATTGGGGGAGTTGTTCTAATGGACTTAGCCCTCGAAAAATGTTAGACCACTATTATTTTTTCATAGTAAATTGAAAATAACATTTTTTTGATACCTAAACTTTTTTTGTCATTGAATATTTAAGCCCCTTTTGAAAAAAATATTGATCTCGGTATTGTTATAGTTACACGTTATGAGTTAATAACATAAATAATTTAAAAAGTCTTAATGTTATACGTTTTATATGTTTTCGTGTAAATTTGATGAAATGTAACTTTCACTAGTATAAACAGTTCTATATGTTTATAAGTACCTATAAGGTATATCGCATATGCGCGTTTACTGTTTAGTGACACACCTCGTGAAGAAGTGTAAGCTAAAAGGGTTAAAGGATGAAAAGAATCCTTTTTTTACTCATAATTCATAATATTAAGTTGTAAGTAGTGATTGTCTTTTAAGAAAACTAAAGAAATCACAGAAACAAAAAAAAATGTATGTCTTAAAAATATAGTGCTTTAAATTTACAAGAAAAATTCAAATTCTACGCATGGTGGGGTGAGCATGCTTAAAAAATCACACTAATCGGTTATTTGAATGCCTATATATTAATCACAGTATAGCCATAAGCGCAATAAATATAAAAATTGATTATTTTGACAGATATATTAGATAGGTAGTCCATAATCTGTATTAAATACATTTGATAAAAATTAAAAAATTAAAACCAAAATTTAATCTCAATGGAATTCTGAATTATAATATTGACTTGTTTGGTTATAATTAGAGCGTTCTAGCGTAAACCTTACGAATAACTTTTTTAAAGGGGTCGCTTTTTAACAACCATTAGAGGTTGATGAAAATGAGCCCCCCTGTGTCTTCCTACTTTAAACCTTGATGCTCAATATAAAACTCAGTAAATACAAGAAAGTAGTCGAGTAGTAATATTATAAAATAAAATATTGTACAGTCATCAGACGCAGCCAGACCTTTGTAAATTACATAATTTATTTATTTACTTATTGATATATATGGTAATATTTATATTATAAAGGAAAGGCAGGAATGCAGTCACGTTACACCTGAATTATATACACTATACACATGGGTATTCTTATGTTCACCCTCTTTTTTTCTTAAATAATGCAGAAAAAACACGATTTTGGAATTTTTAAATATACATTTAAGGTTTCAGAGCATATTTTTAAATTCACGAGATTTGTTTAATTACTTATAGGACTGATAGGAGTGTCCTGTGAATATAATAATATTATATTATATTATATACTTCTTTTTTTTTAAATGAGAATCCTTATTTATTTCTACTGTACATTTCTTGCCGTATCATTTTTCTGTAAATGCTGCCGTATTAATATTAAATGCCGTACGAGTTGTTTTTGAATTAATTAACTTTGTGTACTAAAGATAATATATCTATACATGGAATGTTGAAAGTTTAGTGATTTGAACATTTTAGTAGGTGCCTAATTAATTATATTAATCTATCAACATTCTAAATCAGCCATACTCAACCTTTTTTGCATTTGGGCCTCATAAAATATTTAAAAATATTACGCGGGCTGCAAGTCAAAATGAATGGAACGGAAATTAAAAAAAATAAATAAATTTATATAATATTGTGTACATTGTATAAAAATTGGAAATGTATTCTGTTCGGGCCACATGAATCGTTGGAGGGCCGTAGATTCAGTATGGCTGTTCTAAATGATAATTTGTAAAAATAGTTCAATGTCAAAGTATTATAAATACAAGATTTATTAATATTTTTGTAAAACCATTTTTTAGACTTACCAACCTAGCATGCTTAATATAAGAATTTCAATAACTGAGAACTGCTCGTTCAAATTTGGAACTAGATATAGGTATCTAAATGTTCAATCAAATTACCCACTAAATAAATTACAGTAAAAAGTGAGCTCATTAGAAAAATAAGAAATTCGTATCACTACGACACTTCTTAAGATGTTAAAATAATCTTTTCAGTTTTAAAATATATTTAAAAATGTCAACAATCAGAGTTGTGAGCATGCTTGCAGATAAACCATTCAATATAAATAAAAGTACATAAGTACTTTTTTATTACTTATTGTTACTTATTTAGCTATCCGTGTGGCATGTGATATATTATAAATTATAATTTAAAATGAGTATGAAAATATAAGAATAAGTAGGTATAGTGGAGTGCAGTTGTCCTGAGCTACATTGTGGTATTTCGATACTATTCCGGTGTTTGCAGTTCGAAGAGGGGCGTGCTGCAGTTGTACCGCTTTCGGATTTTTCTTCCGCACAACTGCACTAGGCACGAGCAGAACAACAACAACGCCGCCGAAACGGCTACGGCAAGGGTGGTACGGCCATCGGTCCAAGACTGTCGACTGCCATCGACGGGACGGGTGGGCCTCTTGTGGACGACACGTCTGAAGGACACGCCGAAGGTGACTTCGACCGCTCGTACCGAGTCCAAGTCGGCCGCGGCTTTCGGCATGCACACGATCCGGTGCCGGTCAACAGACGTGACGTCGCACTCGGTGGAAACGGTCAAGTCGTCATTGATGAGCAACCGGACGACCGTGTCGTTGCCCTGGTACTGTGCGGCGTAGCCCCAGTCAAAGTTTCGGCCAATGACAGTGACCGCATGGCCGTCCGACACTAAGTCGTCCAACACCGGATCCGCGTACAAGTGGTACCTGGGCATGGCATCGCCGTTGCCGGGTCGTGGTTTCGCGATCGAGCCGCCGTCGTACGTCACGTAGAGTTCAAACGCCAACGAGCCAATCGGGGTGGCCTCATCGGCTTCGTCATCCTCGGCCGCGGTGGTGGTCGTATGCACGCGCCGTGTCGTAAGATCGTCTACGCTGAGTGTAGGCGATCGGCACACCATGAACGTGTCGTTGTGCATCTGACAACCGGTCTGGTGGACGGTGCCGTTGTGCAGGTGGACGGCCATCACGGTGTTGCGAGCGCAAGAGAAGTGCCGTCCGCGCACCGGGACCGCTGTGCCACCCGAAACGATGCCCGCCAAGGGTTGCGACGCGTCCAGCACTGGGTTGTCGGTGAAGATGAACGTCTGTCGGTCAGCCGCCTGCTTGGTGAGCCCGCCGTCGAACACCACCCTGATGGCGCCGCCAGTTGGAGCATCCGCGGAGCCCGTCAAGCACGAAATACGGTCTGCCGAGCGGTCGACCACATAGCACGTCGTGTCGTTGCCAACCACCACGCGCACAGAGGTACCGACGTCCAGATGCTGGCCGGTGATGATCAGTGGCGTTCCACCCGATAGCGGGCCACAGGTCGGTCTCACGTCCATCAGTCGAGGATTGACAAGCTTAAACGTGAACGTGGAAGCGATACTGAACCTCTGCCTCGGACCGTACTCGACCACGATCGAGCCTTCTGTGAGCTTGGCAGGGTCGCTGACCGACTTCGGCTCTTCTCTTGGCGGCGGTGATACGGTGCACGAGATTGTCTCGTTGTCCACCGACCTCGGGTCGGTGCACTCTCGCCCGGCCACTGTCACCGTCACCAACTTCTTCTCGGTTAGTATCCAGTGGTTCTTGACGGTGACGCGCACCACCGTGCCGCCGGTCCATGGCGCCGAAACCGGTGCCACCGACGAGATGCTCGCGTTAGCACATTGTAACGGCACCGTCGTCGCAGCCGCAGCCGTTGCGATGGCCGTAAAATTCTGCACATACCGCCTATCATAGAACTGGTACAACCCCGAACACCGGTTGGCGCTCGAACACCGTTTGAAGTAGTTGATGTACCCGTTGGCGGTCCACCCGCACGTCATGCAATCGTCGTCTCTCTTGACGCCGCATTCGTGGTCATAGTGCGGTACGTAATAGTCCGAATCGTTGTCCAGCCTCAGTATCACCGAGTTGTTGTTGAACTTGATGTAATAGAAGTAAATCATCTGTTTGCTGAGCTGGAAATCGACGTGCGTCCGTTTATTTCCTTCACACTTGATTTCGTTCTTGTCGACCCTGCCCTTGAGGTAATACGTTTGTAGCGCACACGTGATTGTCACACTGCGGAGATATGCCATGAAGTCTTTCTTGTCGTTGGACACGGACAACGTGTAACTGTAAGTCACGTCTTTCAGCCACGAAAACTTGTCCACCTTGAACTGCGGGCAGTCAGTCTCCACGTGCACCATCAAGTTCCCCCACAGTTCTTCCGGTTGGACGCAATTCTGATGTTCCAACGACCAACTGCACAACGTTTCGTTCGCACATTTTGTGCACGATCTGTATTCGGTACAATCGATTTTATTTTTTGACGATTCCGAAGCATAAGCATGATGTGATACGCACAAAAATACCTGTCCAAAATAAATGTTATAATTATTATTGACGTTCGAGAAATTACGATGTGCTTCGACGAAGATGGAAGCATAACGCTCTGCACACTGCACAGTAAAAGCTTAATATAGGTACGTCCCTCGGTCCCTCATTGCCAATACATTTTTGTCGTCTTACCTTAATTTAATTTAACTCAAGTGGTACCTATACCAACAAAACTCAAATGGAGTTGAGCTTTAACGTATTAGTAGTATGTTGTGCCGTAGCGCGTAAGTGTAATATTATCAGTTATGTACAAGAATTATGTGTAAGAGTATCAGAGCGCAGCAGTAGTGCAGTGATGATGTAACGTCACCTTAAGCTTATAAACGAAATTTTTGCTAGTGATTTTATAAACAATTATAAATATTGTATAATATATATTATGTTAGTTAAATACTGTAAAACTACCAAAAATAAGGCTGGCAGACAGGAAATCGAACCTAGGTCACTCGCTTGCCTCGTTAATCACTTCCATTGAGCTACCAAACCGGCACTGTTTCTCCTTCATTAATAGATATTTACACAATTAAATAGTGTACCTATTCTATATTTTACTAAAATCAATAAATTTAGTTTTACTTAAATAGTATTTTTATATATTTAAATATGTAAATTACGATTTCGAATAGATGCTATGTTAAAATTAAATAAGTTTCCTCTAAAAATTCTAATTTTTGATTTGCACAATAATTTGTTTTTATAATTTTATTTTATTAATTTTATGTTGAGAAAATATTTTATATTTATATTTTTCATTACATTTTATCTAATCGTCAAAGAACTTATTTTACCGTAGAAATCATAGTAATAAGATTTCTGTATTTAAATACTTCGTTCTGTGCATTATAATATCAACTGAAGAGGTAATTATCAATTGAGTTTGTCACTGTAATTGTTAGTATAACGGTGTACATAATAACGAGTGGAACACAGATATTGTTCTTACCTTTAAGTTTGATCATCTGTAAATTTATTCTAATATTAAAGCTATTATTAATTAATATTAAAACAAGTCCAATTGAACCTATTTTAACTTCCGAACAAATTGCTCCAAAATACGAGACAGGTTGAATTAATTTTTGCCAAAAAAATGTTAAAAAAGGCTATGTGTACCGATATAAGACGTTCCTATATAATATAATATACGTACATACGTTAAAAGTTTCAAGTACTCATACAAATAGTATATTTAAATTTGAATAAAATAATTTAAAATCAAACTGTATATAAATATCTCAAAAAGAGTCAAATATATTTTTTAAATTATACTATGTATACTTATGTTCTACTCTAGAAGGCGATAAAAAAATAATAAGCACCGACATGGTTCATTGCTGGGATATGGTGAAGACACGATTAAGCAAACTATTCTTTTTGCTAAAGAAATTAACCTGTGTCATGTTTTATATCTATACTTATTTTAACTATAAACAAAATAAATAAATGTAATTTTAGCACCAATAGCCCAGCTGTTGAAGCATATTTAGTGGTGTTCAGAGAATATTTTCATTTTGTAAAATCAATATATATATTGTTAATTGTTATATACAATACTAACTTCACTCATAAACTGTTCATGAATTAGTTGCACTAAAAAAGATGAAACATGCATGCATTCATATATAAAGAACCTGCATTAAAAATATGCAACAACATTTAAAAATATGTAAAGTTTTGTAAATTAAACCGTCTTAATATTTCAATTTATATCTCACATATTTTTAATTCAGAATGAAATTCATCGGTGTATGCAATGTTATTTGTTAAATAGCCTGGCTCATAAATAATAACAAAATAAAATTATTGAAAATGCAAAATTCTGATTAAAAAACAACTGTAAAGTCAAACTTACCATGAATGTGTTACAATTTAAAAAAATCATATTAATATTTGTATAGCACTGAATAATGAATATTATTTACTATTATTACTATTATAGACAAAAACAAATATTTTAATACATTCTAGTTCGCGTATGTTTGGCTAATAATCATTAAAGCTACAGCAGTATGTACAAACAAAAATAAATAAATTGTACTATCAAGCAAATTTGTTATCAATTTCCTGTTTTACGATTATTAGGTATTCACTTCATTATTGTTGACGTATGAACTTATGCAAAAATGTAGTTATTATTGCAACAGATATAATATTAATTTGAAGTTATCATTATGTGTATCATTAGATCACATTTATTCTTGGAAGCTATTCTAACTTTTTTAGCAATTTATCTTTTTTCAAAAATAATCTGGGGCAGTGGGGCTATCCCACTAGGGTATATATTTTTAATTATATAGGTAAAATGCTTGAAATACCACAAATGAAAATTTGCAAAAATACCACACCACACAAAACTTTGAACAACAACCACAATACAGGAAATTCATTGAATATCAATATTTTTAATTTTATAACATTCCTAAATGTATTTCAATAATAGTGACTCTCTACCAACATTTTTGTATACATTTATTCAATATAAAAAAATAATTTTAGTAAGTACCAGTATCTACTACTTATAAAATGTTAATAGGTATACAAATATGTAAACATTTTATAATAAAATTCATAAAAATGACGTATTGTCTTCATGAGTCTAAACAGTTAGGGTCGTTGTTAGTAGTTCGTAACAAACAGTTAGGGTCATCCTAATGGAAAATATCGCATGTAATTACAATAATTGCAATACGAATTATTTGCATAAATGTATATTTAATATTACATTTTGTTCAACATACATATTTCAATATTTGCCTCGGATCAACCTACTACATCTAGCTGCACGTTAGGAGTTGAATTTGAAGATGAAAAAACTATGTTTTCTTCATATAGCTTCCGAAAATTTACGAAACCATCTGTACCTCATGGAATAAAAAATAGAGGTTCAAAGTTAACCAGGTCAAATCCTTCAACACTAAAAATATTTGTATGCTCTCCGAATGTCAATCTTTATGGAATGACAATCCCACTATCCTAAACAGTTAAGTATCTAGCATTTATACTAGAATGTCGCCTAATCTGAGCTCAACACATAAAATCAAAGAGACTCAATTAAACAACCGGTTTCAGACGCTGAGCACTCTTTTAAACACAGATATACTTGATATATTTTTGATTTCATAATCAAAACTACCCTACTATTAAAAAACGCTTTAATTAAAAATTATCGTCCATTCCATTCTATTCTTATAAAATAATATTACAACTTATAACACTAAACCCAAATAAGTAATAATTGTTCAAAATAGGTTAGTGTTGCCGATATGTGGCTTCTTCCGTCAAAAGTTTAAATTGTGTATAAATTTACTATTTTTACACTTGCTTATTGTTCTTTACAGGAAAAATATACCTAACCTAACCTATAAAATTAATATATGTAAATATTATACAGAATTAGAAAATATTATAAGCATTGTTTTTGTTTGGTGTTGATGTAAGTACAGTTATTGTAAGATAGGTCTATTTTGGTAGAAAATGGTATAGAATCATATCTTAAATCTATTACCTATTAGTTATAAATTGTAAGTATAGGTAATGGGTAGGTACTTACATATGATAAGAAAGTATACAAATATTTCGTAGTTAGTAAATTTTATTAATATAGAAAATTTAAGTTTAATTTCTTTTAACTATAATCAATGAATATATTGTGTCGGGGTGGATTAAAAGTATCGGCGGATGTCACATTTGTTGTTGACGTAGACCACGATCAGGAACGTCATGAAGCACACGCCGGTGAGGATGCCGACGATCAGCAGAAACGCTTCGAACGGTCCCCTCGCTAAACGGTTGTTGTTCTTCATGACAGTGCGGCCGAATTCGCGGCCGACGGTGACGTGGATTTCACGCAGGTCTCCGTCAGCGGGGGACGACGGCGGTCGCAAGCAAACGATCCGTCGTCGCTGCGTGTTGATGACGGCGCACGGGGTGCCCTTGGCGTCACGCAATCGGATGGCCAAGTCGACGGACGGTCGGTAGCCCCGGTTCAGGTTGCGGCCGTTGATCGTCACCTTGCGGCCGTCGGTCTCAAAATCCGTGAACACTGGATCGGCGTAAAGCCGGTAACCGGGAAAGTCGGGCTGCGGGGACAAGTCCAACGTGTGGTCGGCAAAGTGCACGCGGAAACCAAAGTTCAATAACGGGGCAGCGGCCGCGGCCGTGGCGTCGGAAGTGGACGATCGGGGCACGTCAAGTGCGGGCGACCCGCACTCCATGAACGTGTCGTTGCGCACCGCACAACCGGCGTAGTGTCGCACGCCGTCCGGGTCGTCCACATACAGCGTGGCGTTGCTAACGCATGCCAGATGGCGACCACGCACCGGGATGTGGGTGCCACCAGAAGCGATTCCCGAAAACAGCTGACCCGCGTCCAGCACGGGGTCACCCGCGTACACGAACTGCACAGCAGACTTGGACCGTGGAGCGGTGGTACTGTTTACGCCGACTCTCCTCCTCAGGAACTTGTCGAACACGACCGTGACGGCACCCGCAACTGGCCCGTCCGACGGTCCGGTCACGCACAGCATACGGTCCGCGTACCTAGCGATCAGCTCGCACGGCACGTTAGCCGAGCCCACAGACACGGTGGCCGTGCTGCCGGCGTCCAGGAAACGGCCGGTAATGTGCAACAAGGTACCGCCGGAGACAGGGCCGCACGCCGGGCTCAAAGAGGTCAGCTCGGGGTAGACGAATTGGAACGTCTGGGCTGACGTCAGCCGCAGCGGGCCGTACGTGACGTGTACAGGGCCAGTTGCCAAGTCGTCGGGCTTCGGTAATCCGACCGTGCATGAGATGGTCTCACCGTTGATCGTCTTCGGGTAAACGCAATTGCGTCCGGCCACAGTGACGGTCGCCTTCCGTGATTCGGACAGCACGTCGTGGTTCTTGATGGTTATCACCAGAGTTGCTCCACCCGACCACGCCGCCGACAGCGGTTCCACCGACTGGATCGTCATGTCAGGACAAGCACCCGCGGGTGGTCCAAATCCAGTGTTCACCGCCGTGCCCGCGGAGGCGGTCTCGTTCCAGTGGTCGTAATACTCGAACAGGCCCGTGCACGTGTTACCGACCGAACACCGTTTGTAGTAGAACGTGTTGAGTTCCAAGTCCCAGGAACATGCAACGCAGTCTTTGACCTTGTTGCTGGTATTGCAATAATGGCTGTTGTATACAGTTAAGTAGTTGTTGATGCCATTGTCGATCCGCAGCAGCACGCCGTCGAACGCGATGCTGTAGTGGTAAATCATTAGCCGCTGTTTGTCGAACTCCAAACTGTCGTTGCTCATCGACTCGCAACTGATCGTGTCCGCCTCCTCGTTCACCGTACCATTGTACGTAATGTCTCTCAGCGAGCATGTGATGTTGCTTTTGCCGAGGTACTTTACGAAACCACTCACGTCATTCGACACCTTCACCTTGTAAGTGAAGGGCAGATGTATTTTATAGTTGAAACTGTCGACGATGGTAAACTGCGGACAGTGCTCTCGGATGTTCACCATCAACAGTCCCGGTCTACGAGTCGTTTTCAAACACGTCTGCTGTTTTAAAGACCAGCTGCAGGACGGGTTTTCCGTACATTTCGTACACGTCCGAAATCCTGAGCAATCTACAGCATATTTGTTGATATCGTGCTTGAACGAATCAACTTTTGATATACATGCCAACACCTGAAAAAAAAAATGTTTACAATTTTGTTGTATTAATGTATTATATTACACTAAAGCAGGAGCGTACTCTAGATTGGAGGTTTAGAGGCGGTTTACCCCCACATAGTCATTTGGCAGATATATTGATATATATATATACACATGCTATGTACTTACATAAATTATAATTATTGCATTTCTCAATTTTAGATCAGGTAATTTGCTATTTTTTTTTAAACGCACCATAAAAGTTTAAGACTTGGAGTTAACTTAGTCTTAAATAATTATTGTACCAACTATCTCAATCATCGTATAAAACTTCTGAAAACTTATTTGAATTCATCATGACTCATAAGGCTTACTCAAAAATGACTTTTCCAATTTTTGAAATAGAATTATTAAACCACTTTAAAATTTAATTTATAAATGTTAAATACTAAGGATTTTAAAATGTTGGTAATATTGAAGTAAAAATAATAGTTGAAAAATGTGAGTATGCCGTTTTCAAGTAGATTTGAAGACGAATTCAGAAATTTTATCAGATAAATAGAATAGGATACTTCTATTGAGTATTTAGTACAATAAGTACAAGTTGATTGATATTTTTACACGTACAAAAAAAAAAATTAATATTTGTGTAACGCGTAATAAATTGACGTATGTGTGCACGCATGGGAGAACTTTACAATATCTTTCACACATTGTGCACGGCCTGTTCGCAAACACTAAGAAAATTGTCTATACTGAGTTCTTTAAAAATGGTCGGTTTTGGATCCCATTAAAAATAATATTAAATTATTCAAAACACTATGATGATTATTACAGATTTATACTTACCGATGTGATAGCAAGAAGTTTGTAAATAGATGAACCAATATTAAGCTGTTTTCTTGGCTCTGCAGTCAATTCAACCATGATTCTTGAGTTTTAATCAATTCTCTAAAAATATAAAGTTAACTTTTCTTTACTATACATTTTTGTTAGTCAAGTAATGATTATTTTTTATAATATAGTTCAATTAATTTAATGTATTATTTACTATATAGATAGTTATTAAAATCATACATAAATTTAATTATTGGAGATAATTACACTAGATAAAATCTATGTCGTAAACAGATAATTGAAAATAGCCATGAGTTTGGCTAGGCTAACTAGGCCGTTTACTTACTGTTCGTAGACTTAGAGACTTTAATTTCACAAAACTTTATAACAAAAAGAAAACACACATTTTCATAGTACAAATTCAATTCGTCTATTTTTTGAATTTGCAAAAACATCAATAATATTATCTATTTGATCTAGAAATCTATTTTATTATATACATTAATTATACATAATGCCGATAGTCTATCTTCTGTCATCCTAGAATGAAGCCAGGTTTTAAGTCTCCCAAGTATTGAGAAACTCCTTTTCCTTTTTTTTAAACAAAATACATTAATTTATAAACAAAGCCCCCCCTGGAGCCGCCCTTGTGGAGGCATGCTGTTCCTGAGACAATAGACCTAAATGGCCGGTAAAATCCAAAAGTAAAAGGAGACTGATAGTTATAATTATTTGTGAAAACAAATCTTATTGATTTTTTTCCAAACACCATTAAACATTTTTATTTTATTAGTTGTCAAAAAAATCTAAAATACATTTACATTTTTAATACTAATATGGAATTTGTTTTCATTTTAAATTTAGATTGAAGTAAAAATAAATGATTTATTAACATCGTAATTCGTATTGTATTGATTTTAATAGATTTTAAAATTATTTTCAATAATAATAATGTGTAGCATATTATTTTAAGCTTTAAATAAAACTAACCAGATCTCTGATCAAACATTATTATCATAAACTTCTTAAAAACAACTAAATTAGACTACCTACGTTATTTAAATCAAGCATAATATTATAATATAGGTATTTATTTTGTAAATAAAATTGTAATTAATAGTCAATAGTAAATAACTCCAGTGTAAATAAGATGTTTGGACTAATGGCTAAAAACGCCGATGTTATTTAAAAAAAAAAATAATAGTGATACAAATAACTATTGAAACTAACTTTTATATTATCTAAAGCTAACTAGTTTTCCAGTCAAAAGTGCCTTCAACATTAAGTTGACAAAAATGCATAATGTCATCGAAATTCAAGTATACTTTATTATTAATATGTTGATTATGATTTTATTACGGTACTGCAAGTAAAAAGTATTAGTAGTATTACAATTAAATATTATCATGACTCATTAGTCATTAGTCATAACTATAACATGACTCATAAGTATAACTTTATTTTTTTAATTATAAGAGCTATAGATACATTCATTGTTAAAGGTTATCGTAAATAATAAAAATAATAATATAATTAGTAGTTAAATTAAATTAAGTTATAACTGTTATATTATCGAATTGATATTGACGTTATTTAACTAGCTGATAGTTAATCAAATTTATCTTTCTTGGTTAGGACAATTACACATTGGCGAAGATAATTATAATGTTACAAATTACAAAACGGTACATCATCAATTATACCAGAGTATGATTATGAAAATGTTGAGATTTAATACTTATTTTTACTTAATACAACGATTATGATTTTTTTAAGTGGAGTCACATTTCTTCAAAAATGTTCAATGGTACCTATTGGGTAGTTTATTTTATACGTTTATACAAAAACTATTGTGAAAATCCAAAAATCTCTATAAAATATGTCTAACTGTGCTTAAAATAATAAATTGTGAACACTCTTTCTAGGACATTCTATTTATTAAAAAAAGTTTTCACAGAAAGTACCTATACTTATACCTATACTATGTATATTTGTATTTTAGCCATAATGACAATAAAATCGTAGCTCAGAAAGCTTTTTCACAAGTAATTAAGATAAGAATCTTCACTAAATATCATAAATTTAAAGACAACATGTCATTTAGTAAACACGGAGCTGTCGATTGCAGCGAACAAAGTGCTTACGCATTATTTCCAAAAATTGTGATATTCATTGGCCACCTCGAGGACTTGATTTATCAGTATGTGACTTATTTTTGTGTCGGCACTTAAAAAGTAAAGTCTATACACAGACACCTCGAAATATTATTGAACTAAAAAACAAGAGAAAAAAAATCTCCAGTATACTTTTGAAAGTGATACACCTTGTAGTGGAAAATATACGAAGTAGGCTATAAAAGTGTTTGAGAAGAAATGGCAATCATATCAACAATGTAATTTTTAAAAAATAAATGGGAAGTTATGTACTTCATTATTATAAGTAATAATTAATTTTTATTTGTTTACTTATATTATGATTTCTCGGAAAACCGTCTGTTTTAGAGTCCCATCCTGTACAGTTACTATTTTGCGTAATCAAAATATTTTTTACCCCTACTCATTTGCGCGCTGTGGGCCAGTTCATGTTGACCTAACCTAATGAGTAATGACCGTCAACCAGCCCATTTGGATATTTGCTATAAATATAATATATTGGGTATTTAGATTTCAGTATCATTTATTTTTGACCAAATTATAGCCGTAGTTGCGTACCTATACAATATATAGTATCTCGTATATTATAATGAACGAAAATAATATAGATATACAGTAACAATACTAACAGCAATACAAGTCTATATCTCTCTATAATATGGTCAACAATAAATGATACTGAAACCCGAATACCCAATATATCATATTTGTAGCAAATATCCAATTGGGCCGGCTTGCGGTCATCAGGTTAACATGGACCGGCTACCACGTCAACATGAGCCGACTGCTTGGTTAACATTAACCGGTCGTTACAGGCATTGATACAACATACAAACCATCGCAGCCTTAGAAGGCTTAGGCCGTGCAAAACATGATCAGTAGAATGATTCATCAGTACGATAAGATGTGCAAATTACACCGAGATAAAGAATATATTTTGTATATTAGTATAAGTATATTCATAAATTATTTCCCTCGATGATAACGGCACAAAGCACAATTTAGGAAAAAACGATAATATTATAATAAAAAGCGATACAGAGATATGTAAATAAAACAAATGAGAATAATAATAATAATAAATAACTAATAAGAGTATAAGTATGTGGGTGACTATGGATGATAATCGTTTGAATGATTTATTGGTTGATGCAGGAAAAAATGATGAATCATCAAATATTAAATTTAGATGGAGCACATTTTTGCAAATAAAAGCTAAAATTTTAATTTGATTGAAATTTACAATAATATAATAATTTATAATGTTCAAAATCAAAATATTGTATCTCATCGACCAAAGTGTTTGTATAACTTGTATACTTGCTCATTATTTGCCCATTTTTTACCTAAAGTGCCTATAAGCAGGATTTATTAAAATTATATTTAACAAACCATTATATTTATTTAAATATGCATTAGGTACTTGAAAGTATAATATAAGTATACTAATATTTTAGTCGGTATCCAATTTAAATCATTATTTTGAAAATCAGATTATTAATAATTATCATTAAGTAAGTTTAAAAAAAAGCTTGTAGACAGCATACAGTAATATTAAGGTACCCATTTTTATTTTTTATAATTTATATATTTTAGAAGTAAGTGTTTTACAGACAAGGTAAGGTATAATAAACCTCGAAAACACCACGAGACACCTGCAGTGGCCGTATAACAAGGACCGATAGTTCGGTCGCCCCCTTGGTCTGTGTAAATGTATAAGACTTCATTAAAACAATAATCATTTTTTATTAATAAAATTTATATTTTATTATATAAGTATAAACTATACAGCGCCGAAAGTATTTGGAAAAAAATGAGATTAGTGTATTTTCGTACAAAATGTTTTCATTACCCCCTACGGGAACTCGTCAAGAACTGTCACTGTTAGACATTTTGTATACATATATATATATTAATAAACTGTGTACTTTACTTAACTTACAAATAACTAAGAGATTTTTATAATTTATTGAAAACTTTATCTTTAAAACAAAAACAGTCGTGCTTCGTCATGTAATTTTTTTATTATATAATTTAAAACAAAAAATAAAAATTAGGAAGAATTAATACAATGTTAGTATAATAAGTATGACTGAAGACCAACCACGGAAAAAAAAAGTAATGCATTCAAAAATGTTTACTAATATAAAATTATATTTTACCTTTTTGTAAAAATAAAATCAAGCAATATTTATCACCGAATTATTAAATTAAATTAAATTTATTTTAACATTACGAGGCTGTTATATTATATAGGATTGTCATTAGATAAATGAGGAACATAAGATGACCATAAATTCACTACTATAATTGTATACATAGTTATTATTATTATTGCTAATATTTTTTCTATTCTGGCAGAGTGCTTATAACGTATGAAGAGGATGCTATACAGGCCTATTTTGTTATCTCCGCCATACAATAGTGTATAAGGTATAACATTGAAAATGTTCGCTCGCCAGCAGATCACGTTTATCTTCTTAACATTTGGGTTTTTCATTATGGATATGTTTTAACAAGTTTTGAGTACATAATATAGTGTAAATTGAAAATGTTCATAACTCATTTAAAAACTGATTTATTGTAACCTTATATGTATTACCTTAAATTATATGTAACCTACATACAAAAATAGATAATGTTCTTCCCATGACCATCAAGTTTCATAAGAGGCCAATTCACACTCATTTTTAAATTAACAAAGCTAAGCATGATCTGCTGAGCGTAAATTTGTTAAGTTACGCACTTGTAAGGAGACAACAAATTACCAAGTACCGTCTTAAACAATAATATATTATGTGGTTATATGTATAATATGTTATAAGTTATAACTAATTTTATACTTAGTGGTCGAATTTATATACAATTAAATATTGGTATTTTTTTACTTACTTAGTTGCGAGTCTATTGTTCTTAGTTTGTTGATGGAGTTAAATA